TTACTGTTGTTGAGACTCCCACCTGTATCGCTGCAAATTTTACCATGAAAAAGGAGAGTCTATTACAGATAAAAGCTTAATATAACTCTAGTTCTTCTGGATATTACATACAATTTTTAAAGTAGTCTAAAATGCTAACCAATTCCATTATCTTCATCAAACTCAATGACATTTCAATATTTCTAGTTGGTGACATTAGATAAAATATGTGTCCTAGAATTCAAAAAAACGTTCATAATGACCACATTCAAATTGGGTCATAGCACTATAATCTAGCTTTACAGATTCACAAAACACACACAAAGTTAGCATTCTGAGAGAGATCATGTGTAGTGGAGGATTTTAATTTCAGGGATCACTATCTAAGAGGAGTATATTTCTTGATGCTAATACTTTCAAAGATGCAATTAAAAAAATTTGCAACAGAGTGAAAACAACATAAAAAAGCAACAGAAGTTTTCATTCCCCACATCCCAGCACAACAAGAATCTGATACAGATGGCCGGTAACAGAAGTTCTCTTAACTTTCCTTGTACCACATTTTTTCACATCCACTTCTCTCCAGTAACAGACTGTTACATTAGAGTTAGGAATCAAATCTGAGCAAACGCTTGTGAAATAAAGATCTCAGTATACTTCATGAAGTCTGTATTTACAGAAGGGTAAAATTGTCTTCTCAAATCACAATGCTATCACGACTGATCCAAAACAAGGAAAAACAAGGTATAAAAGAGGTATATACCCTTCTCACGACTACCCACTTGCCTTTTCCAAGCTAAAGTTTTCACAGTCCGATACATACCGCTAACCTGACTTACCTTGCATCTGCCCAGATGAACACACACGGACACTGATTTACTGACACTTAGCAATTTGTTTATCTGAACTGCTATACAACTACGTGTCTGTATCAATTTTAACAATAGGGCTTGAATTTTGCTGTCAGTTAAGCATCTTCGAGAATTTCAGCATTACTCCTTGAGGTGGTCCACATATATAATTCCAACTCTGAGGTTCTTGCATGCAAAGACTAAAAATCCTTCTTAGTCACTCTGAATAAATGGTAGATGTCAGACACACCTAACAGTTTCAAAAAGCACTGCTGTCATTCAGTCATGCTCCTTCTCAGCCACAAAACCTATAGTTACAAAGTTTTGGATAGGAAAGACCAAAATTGCATAGAATTAGAACGGAAGGACAAGTTAAGTCAGTTAAATCCAGTTTCAGACCGGACAGGAAAAGAGATTTCTCATTCTGAGAAAAAAAAAAAAAAAAAAAAATAGAAGTGATGAGACCTGCTGTGACAGACTGAGAAACGACTGTGTTATTTTTTTATATGAATATTATGCACAGTTATTTCCCTAAACTATACTGCTGTCTGCCTGAGCACAGAGATAGGGCAAAGGAGACTGAAAGCCAATAATTTGAAAACCAGAAAAGATAATAAGAGAATGGCCGGCCTAAGTTTAAAAAAAAAAAAAAAAAAAAAAAAAAAAAAAAAAAAAAACGTTTTTCAGGAACAACGAGTAAAGTCAGCAAGCACACGGACAGGGAAGAGACCCAGCTGATTCACCTGATGAGCTCTGCCAGGATACCTTTGACAGAGTTCTTCTCTGAGGGCTTTTAAATGCCCTCTCCAAGCCACAAGAGAGAAGGTCTTTATATAGATAAATAAACAGTTAACATATTCACATGCCCAATCTGAAGAAAAGCAACAGGACACAAATGATGTTTTTAGCACACCTAGGGCAGTAAGGCTAAAGAGTGACTTCGAGAGACTGCAGAAGGCCTTTGTGAGACTTAATGTCAAATAAAATTCAGTATAAATTTTTGGGGAAAAAAACAATCCTAACCTCACACGTGAAATGATGGGCGTTCAGTGGCTAATCACCAGTCAGGAGCAAGATCTTCGAGGTTTGGTTCACAGTCACACAAAACTACCGACTCGATGTTCAGCAATGGCCAAAAAAGTAAATTGTACACTGTGCACTGTTATAAGGAAAGGAACAGAGAACAAAACAAGGAATATCTTTAGGTCATTGCTGAAATCTATAGGTCATCCACCTCTCCAGCATACAGCCTCTCTCGAGGGTACAGAACGGGACAAAAAGATTCAAAAGGGACAACAGGGCTGATCAAATGTAAGGAACTGCTAGTTAGGACCCTTCAGCCCGTAAACAAGACAACTGCACAGGTAATATGAGGAGATGTATAAAATCATGAGGGAAGGTACGAGCTGTAGAGGATGGGTAGTTAGCTGTTTGTTGCAACACAAGAACTAGGGGATATCAGAAGGAAACTATTAGGCTCAAAGCTGATAAAAGTAGTAATTTTGTAAATTCTTGTCTCAGGATGTTGTGCAAGCCTAAGGGAGACTGGAAACTTTTATGAAAGAGAAAGCCATGGAGAACGATTAACTACAGAGAAACTACTGAGCTGACAACAGCTCGAGTCCACACGCATTAAAGGAAAGTAGCACGTACTCTCACGATTTTCCCTGTATTCTCCCCTGGGTGTCTGCTCTTAGCCACTATTACAGCCAGGATATTGGACTAGATGGACATTTGTACAGTCACTCATGTGTTTTTGCTTCCTTTAATCTAGAAGAACATCTACCAGTTTTCTTTACCAGGTAGTATACATCAGCACCCAAGAATTACATCAGCAGTTCTGACTGATGACTTAATTTACCTCCCAATTGAATAACTATCAGCAGAAACATCTGTAATTCATCCTTTTTGTGCTATGTTCCAACTACAAACAGTGTAAAAGGAAGCAATTTCAGCATCAAATGAAGAGAGATCAAAGTAACAGACACCCTACTAAGGGCAATATTTTAAAAGATGAAAGTATTCTGATCATTATTGTAAATCTGGTCTTTACAGAAAAAGGTACCATAGCTACCATATAATTGAAAGTCATGACGCAGCAGCCATTGCCTTTTCCAGCTGTTCATATTAGGATCTTACCTACTTCTTTAGAAAGTAGTAGATACTTGTGAAATACTTGTGAAATTTAAAAACTATGTGGAAAAATTGCACAAATAACTAAAAAAGGCAATGTATGCAGCATTTTAATTAATACTTTCCAAGTACACAAAGTACGTATCAGCCAATGATACCAGCAATCAAATCTGCTTCCCCTCATTCTGGTAATTCCTTGCACAGATTTGTGATGTATGCAATTACTGAATCATTTCCTATCAAGGGCATTTCTCAAACTCTCAGTTTCTTCATGTCTGTATTTTCATAACAATAACAAGGCATCTTCTTTTCTCCTTTCCACCCCTTCCTCGAAAAAGTTCTAACCATCAAGTTCAGGAAAAAAGTTTTTTTAAAAAATAACATAACTTAAATCTATGGTTTTTGATTAAATTTAGAAAAAAAAATCTTCATGCTTCACAGCCTGACTCTAGCTTTCCCTCTCACCTTTTCCACTGTATCTTCTTTAAAAGGCTATAGCATACTGACAACTGAGAAATTGAGTCCTTCTAAATAAAGTTTAGTGCAGCAAAACTGTGGGTATTGCGCAGTTAAGCTCTAAAATATTTTGATAATTTATGTATTTTACACCAGGGAAGTTTAACAATTAAGGAGTCTTTTGATCTTTACCAACAATTAATATAATTTCAGCCTAAATGAATTTGCAAGATAATTCACAGAACGTGGTCATCTTCCCTTTGAATAAGTTATGCACATAATTTTTTTCTATTTTTACATACTACATTTGTTTGCATTTTAAAAACTACTGATATCAATTATGTATACCTGAATAATCCTGGGAA